TAGGAATCAGTACTAAATAATATGGAAAAAGCCTTTTAACCGTTAATAGATTTAAGGACACTAATAGTTGTGTAAAGTCATTGCTAATGTTTTTATTAAGTTTTGCATTCTGGGAGAAGTACAAACCTAAATGCTTCGCAGCAGCAAATCCAAAAACAGTTTTTTAGAGGTGCTCATCCTGGATGGTGGTGGTGATGATGATGATCAGAAGTACCTGGCTACAACTTTGGAGTGCAATCTGTTTGAAGCCAAAAGGGCTTTCTTAGTTATTTCCGTTTGGCTTTTTTCTAATGAATGATGACAGATTTGAATCTCTGTGTGTTGGTGTGTTATTTTTTTTTCCCTGTTTTTTATTTTTTACACCTGAGTTTGGATGAGATCATTCTAGTCTGTTAGAGATCAGATTATTAGTATTTTTCCAGGTACAGCCCTAGAATTTAGACTGTCTACCTTTTTTAATGCCTGCACCTAGTTGCTAGTAATTGTGTGCATTATTATTTGCTTTCTTCTTTCCAGAAAGCTTGGCCCAGACCCTAATGTGGCCTCCCAGCCTTTGGTCTCATCTCCACCACAGCCTCCGTCTGAGGGCTTGGAGGGGACACCACTGCGCAGAGCAGGTAAAACACTCAACATCAACTATCTGTCCAAAATAACTGATGAAAACATTTTCTAAAGGATATATAAAAACTAGATTCTTAATGTGCAGTGAAAGAGGTGTGATTTTAGAGAAGTAGAATTAAAGGTACAATTTGCACAATAGCACTTGATGCTACACTATTTCAACAGGATTCATTGTAAAATCTAAATAATCCTCTTATCAGTTTTTAGCTTGCTTTGATCTACATAAAAACCAAACATCAGCTTAAAGTCGTACGGAAATCATATGTAAATATCAAATCATTCTGGCTTAAACATGTCTATAAATGTACTCTTTATCAGAAAAATCTGAAAATTTCTGTTTTGAAAAATAAAATCCTGTCTTAAAATTATTGGGGGGTTTGTTATCTTATGCAGGCTTGTCAGCTTGAACAGCTAAATTCGCCCAATCATATATCAACAGTCATCTGTCAATCAAATTTTTTGGTTATAGCATCTTGATTCATATATTGCAGCTAATATACACAACAGTTGAAATAAGAGATAAGA